CAATGGCAGGAACTCGTGAACAGCGTGTGGGCTGATGAACTGTTTACATTACCAAGCGTGATACGGACTGACGTATGTCTGATTACTAATACCACTTGTTTAATTCTTAAAATATTTAACGACGCTATATCAACTGCAGCGGTAATTCAACTTTCAGACAAACAGTAGTGGTACGGAACGTCGCGGCCCACTGGTTATCATTTCTTCTTTTTATTTGGTAGGTCTTTGGTTCAGATACCGGCCCAGAAGATTCGCCGAAGTGGGAACCTAAAATCTCGCCTGATATTAAAGTTGGTATTAGCCATATTTTGTGGTCGTATTAACTGGTTCTGATAATTACTTCTGTACGTAGGTATGTAGTCGGAACTTAGGTTCCGAGATTTGCTCAGACGAACATTTCCTGAAGTAGATGATGATAATGAAATGTAATTTACTTAGACATTTCGCTTAAATTAAGTTAATCCATGTAAGACTTGAGGTTCTCACAGCGGTGAGGATGAAGATTTCTGTCTTCTGGGTTGTTGCGCTGTGTAGTCTGGCACCAGACTACACAGCGCAACAACCCAGAAGACGGAAATCTTCATACTCTGATGACGGAGGCAGTATGACCTCTGAAACGTTGGTAAACATCGACCAGATTACACAGCCCAACAACCCAGAAGACAGAAATTTTCATACTCTGATGACGGAGGCAGTATGACCTCTGAAACGTTGGTAAACATCGACCAGATTACACAGCCCAACAACCCAGAAGACAGAAATTTTCATACTCTGATGACGGAGGCAGTATGACCTCTGAAACGTTGGTAAACATCGACCAGATTACACAGCCCAACAACCCAGAAGACAGAAATTTTCATACTCTGATGACGGAGGCAGTATGACCTCTGAAACGTTGGTAAACATCGACCAGACTACACAGCGCAACAACCCAGAAGACGGAAATCTCTAAGTTAATCCAGTTGGTCTCTTCGTTTCTTATTCTCTGAAATGGTTATATTGGATTAAACACGTGACTGAGTGGCACGCTGTATGAGAAAATCGGTTTTTCTTGCCGTTGAGTGTGCAGAATAGCAACACGTGCTGAGAGAGGTACTTGTATCCCGTTATTGCTTTGGAGAGACTGTGAATTATTGACTTGATACAGCTTAAAGTGGCAGTGTAGCTCTGACTGTCGTAAACCTATTTCTCCCTTGTTGTTTACCTATTGCTGGCGGTGTACTGTTTGTTGGTGAAACAAAGGCTAATAAATACTTTACACAACCTTCACCTCACTCTATATAGCACGTTCCCTACTGATTGTAATGGTGACTTGGAATTAATTTACCTGATTCGTTTTTATGAAGCCTCGTCTTCTTACTTGGAAAACAAGAAAAATAATGTCCCGCTCCAGTGACGGTGATGGTATGGCCTTGTAGATCGGAATTACAGCTGCAGCTATATAAGAATTTACACAATTGTTCTGTTTTCTAGTCTTCTGCCATCCTCAGGGCGATGGAGTCCTTAGAATACGTGTTACTGTTCATGTACGTCATCACAGATATATGACGATTGAGTCTTCTCCTAAGGCCCCTCCATTCAGTGCGAATCCAGTGTGAATGTTGATCTGATTCTAATATTGAGCTTTGTTTCCTTTGCAGTCGGAAGAATTCCATTGTGCTGCGAACGCAGCTTTCTGTACGGGTCCACACGATAATCGGTGAGTAAGATACGTCTCTTATAAAGATGTCAATTCGCTATCAAATTAACATTATAGAACCAGAAGGTTCAATTTATCATACGCGTGCTACATTCTCTGTCCATAGAATAAGTGCAATTATGTATATTAAAAAGTTGTGTAAATCACCCTGTAGAAGTTGAACCGTGCAATTAGGGCATTTCTGACTGAATGTTTTATTCAACCGGAAATGTAAAAGTAAGGGGTCGGTCGGCTCGGGAGTTTTTGCTGTTGCTACAAGAAATGTGGCTGATATCACGTGTTTCTGAATTTTATTTCTTGATCTGAGATGGTAAAAGAACACTTCCGAGAAACGAATCCGTGACCTGTACAAAACAGGTCGATCTAGTAGTGTTAAATACCAAGATGTTTATAACTGTACCTTGAACCAATTATTCTCCATAGGCTTTTTGCGGTTGGGTTTTAACGTTTAACTTCAGATTTGGGGGCATAGAATGTTGATGGTTCTCAACTGTTTCGATAAACATTGCAAGAGCCATCTTCAGGATGAATGTCTCTGGAGGAATTCAGTGTAATACTTACCGAAACACTGCGAAATGTCCAACATTCTACGAAGTAAGCACCTCTGAAACATCGGTCACTTTCTGTCATATCATTGTAACAATCATTTATATAAAAGTAAAGCACTTTCAAGGTGGGGTTAAAAACTGTGAACCTGAATTCGGGACAGAATTTTGTTGTAGTTACAGCCGATGCGAACCGGTTGAGAGCCAACAGGTTGTACTCACCTGATGCAGAGACTGCAAGGTCTTTGAACCGCGGGCCGCTCGTGTGTATGGCATCTATCACTGCCACACTGCAACTCCGCTCTTCAAATTGGGCACCTCCCTTTCTAGAATAAGTTAAAAATTGGCAGCGGCTTCCTCGCTGGTCAGAACACTTCTCAGATCCATGTGGCAGACTTAAAGAAAGATGCCATACCAGGCTCCAGGACACACACAGCCTCCTACTCGTTGCCAGGGTCTTTCCCCAACAGCATATCTCCAGCGTATTGTTACTGAGGGTTAATTAACTTGACTGTGTTCCTATGGCCAAGCCACAAAAGGTGAAGACCGCCTCACACCCGCTGTGGTTAGTGGGACTAGGGGTCAGAGTTGATATTGCTTCGGTGATGGGTCGTTCATTGTCACGTGGCTGCTTTTGGCGAATACTCGATTAACTCGTTGTGCCGTTGCGTGCTGAGAATGACCGTGTAATGTAAGCTAACACGGCCTTCCTTGTTAAATGACAGCACATCCTCAGTTCGATTGTTAATGAAGTTAGACAAAAGAGGGTCTGAACTTTGCGCGGTGCAGACTGAGTTCTATTAAAGGAAGGGAAAATGAGAGAGACGGAATTAAATATAAATAGGAAGAAGGAAGGAAGAAAGATTGATTAAAATCATAATAAGATACATAGGTATTTCGCGAATGTTGTTAAAATCAGACCCAAGTATAAACTAATTTATTATTATTATTATTTAGTGTTCTGTCTGACGACAGGTCCATATGAACAGGATCCTTCCATCCTTTTCTCGGACTGGGACCTGTTCATATACGTTCTTGGCAGATGATCCAGAAGTGGTTTGCCATTGCCTTCTTCTGCGTGTGAAAGGAGTAATTGTTGGGATGCCACGGAGAAAAACTCCGTGTTGCCTAGACCACGGCCATGCCCAACACAAGTTATAAATTCGGACACCGCCGGGAATCGAACCCGGGACCCCAGGATTACAAGGCCAGCGTCCTAACCGCTAGACCACCGTGGTCTGTGTGTGAATGGAGTAATTGTTGGGATGCCACGGAGGAAAACTCCGTGTAACATTCCTTTTTTAGTAACATTAAATTTTTCGAGACCAGATGTGATTACTACTACTCAATCGGCCGACCCGTCTGGAATACACAGTGAAGTTTTCTTGCATTTGAGGTGGAATGACTCGACCACCGTGGTCTTGGCGTCAGAGCTTCGTTTGTAAAAGCTGAATGTACCTCGTTAGCTGAGATTGGTATCAAGGTCTTCAGAGAGATTTGTATTCTGTCCCATATATTCCAGAAAAACCCAGTTTCTCATGAAAATTTCGGTTTTTTTTAATACATCCAACACATTTTTTAGGGCGAATTTCAAGTAGTCCGCGTTACCATTTATATAATCTCATTTGAAACGTAGCAGTGATGCTAGTCGGCCACCATGCTGTTGGTAACATTTCTGATTAAAACTTACTGTAAACACTACAGACAATTTGCAGATTTTCTGTTTTCACTTTGTTTCTGCGAGGCAGATCCGAAACCATGTGCCTCGAGCTTTGACATCGTGTTATTACGTAATAGATGATCTACGGACCAGTAACGTGTGTGTTTATTTTTTTATGTTACAGAAAAACTTCTTAATTCTGAGGGTCGTGAGCTCAGGAGGGCCCTCTTCTCTCTGAAACAGATCTTCCAGGTGAGTACTTCTGCCAATCCCTGCTGCATTGCATTCTGAAGCCCTTTCTTCTGTGTGTCGACAGCCTTGTCAGTCGCCACTTCAGTTTTCTGCTCAGTCTGAAGATTGTGGGGGAGCTAGGCGAACCTTCCATAGAATGCTATTATTGACTGTAGACTGACTGCGTACTATTAAGTCACATCATCAGTACTCTGTATTTCTGAGTAACTGACAGTTGTTGACAGCTCGTGTTAGTCTTCATCAGAAATGAAAGGCCTTCTTCTCGGTGTTTATGTTCATGTTATGTGTATTAAGCATATTTTTCTCGAGACGATTGGTGATTTTTCATTTAAGTACCCTGTAATTGTTAAGGCAGCCAAGATACGTTAGTCTCTTTGATTTGTGAAAGCAGCAATTTTGTTTACTGGACAAGGCTGTATATTTTCTATGATCTTTAGCTCTCGTGGCCACTAAATATAATACATTCTTCTCGGGCTACCAGCCGTGTTAATACCCTGAGGACGAGGACGAAGATGGTTCTCGAAACGTTGGCGTTTTCTCCATTCAACCACCTGGCACGACTGTTAGGCCGATAAGAATTCATTATGCTGTGTTTTCTTGTTTACTTCGATGTCTGTCGGGTGTTAAACAGGGTCGTGATCACGACGAACATTTCAGTCGGGTGCATCTAAGACATACATTGCCAAGATTTGGAAACTGGCTTATTTGTAAGTGACGATTGCGAGGTCAATTTTTCTGAACTGTTTAAGTGCAGTAATTCATTTTCATATTTTTGCCTTAAGGGGCGTGTTTAAATTCATTGTTCAGCGAAAACTGAGTGAAGTGCATCCGAACGTCGTTTGTTATTCTGCTGAGAATAATTACGAATGTTCCTAATGTTGCTGCACCCGCAGAAATAAGCCTTCGATGTCGAAACTGATAGAAAACAGCAGTGGCACAGAAGCAAATGACAGGATTGGAAATTCTTTCAATAGAGAACGGCGTAGCGCTACAGAAGTAAATGACAGGATTGGCCATTCTTTCAATAGAGAACGGCGTAGCGCTGCACTATTCAGGAATCATGGGTGCGGCCTAACCTAACCTAACCTAACCTAACCTTACCTTACCTCCTGGTCTTGGCACAGTGCCTATTAAAATAATTTGTTAATGCAATATTTACACGCGTTAGGATTTACAGCTGGAAAAAGATAAGGCGTGCATGAAACGGGTAAGTTAGTTCTAGAGACGTAGTTTTCAAATCGTTGATACACAGATTTAAATAATCAGAAATGTCATCGTTGTTATTGGCCCTTCGCTAATCAGTCTCGTTCAGCTCTACGTGATTCGCTCTGCCGCCCCTCAGTATCAATCAGGACAGTCAGCGTACAGATAGTTAATTTCGTTACAGGCGAAACTGCATCCAAGCTGGAGGGAGTTCTGTTAAATTACCCGAAGAAAATTCTTAGAATTCTGCCGTTACGAAACGCAACGCTTACATTGCATTTATCCTGTATGGATGATACAGCGAAATTCAACTAACATCCAAGTGATTCTCATCTCAGTAATTTGCCTTGTAACCTGTGTCAAAGCCGAGTTTCGTATGTGATTACTGTTTCATCGATAATTTAGTATTTTTCCTTGGTTTTGTACAAACGCAGGTAGCCTCAAACTTTTCCCGGTGGTAAAACTGACGGAGCATGAAATTTACCACGTACCTCCGTCTACGTGCTTTCTTAAAAAACAGGGACACTTTGCGTATTACATGATTATTATTGTTTGTTTGCGTAGTGTCTTTTTTTCAAAGGGCTCACCTAAACTCACAGAGGAAGGTGATATGATATTAGTACCGAAAATTCCCATGTAGAAGAGAATCAGGGCGCAGTGATTGACTGCCCCGTGTACAGGTGGCACCACCGACCAGGTGAGAAAATGTCGCTATTTGAAGAAAGAAGAAGCCGCTATAGAAGGTTAATGGTTAGAAAGTATATGCCGTCAGTTTTGTCTCTTAGAATAACACATCGTAAAGGGAAGCGTGGGTGTTTGAACTTGCAGAAGTGGCTCGGCTTCCAAGGCTGCTGCCCGGAGTCTATTCGCGTCTTTAGTAATTTGTTGAATTACTAAAGTCGATTTTGATAGATGTATTTCCTAGTTGGAATTGACACTTCTGTAGCCCTTCGAGGATGCAGACTGCGAAACGGCCTCGACACAACTGACCACAGGCCCATTGAAGCAGAGAGAACCTGCGGTCAACCAGACAATGACATTGCTGTATTTGCCCTGCAGGAAGACAAAGATTTGGTGCACGAATTCGTTCAGAATGACGGCCTGGCCTGCCTCATCAAAGTTGGCTCAGAGGCTGATCAGAACTACCAGAACTACATCCTCAGGGGTGAGTAGCTTGCTGTTTTCCTGTTACCCTCTGAAGTTTAATAATAATTTGCCAATGTATGTGTTTAAGATATATTTTCATATAAAATATTACATGCCTGGCTCTGACGGTTAATTCATTATTTATCATCATGGAAATTGAGGGTAGCCTTAAATGTAAGTTTAACATGACCACCACGTTGTATTATCTTCTACAGAAGGTACACATTAAGTGGTCTGTGTATTTTTCAAACATGTTACCACGCAGGATATTTTAACCTCACACGATTATGTTTGTGGCGCTCCTACATTATAAATTCACACGGAAATGATGCTGGAATTTCAGTTTTGCCTTCTTTTCCTTTCATTCAGAGCTTTAACCATTTTTACATATAGAATTGTATGAAAAATATTTGTATTCATTTTCTGTTTGAGATTATTTAAGTTAGCCAGATTTGTTTGAACTACTTTGCTTTTCAGGTAGCCCCATAAAAAGAAATCACAAGCTGCTGGCCAAGAAATTACTCCACAATGGGAAATTATTCAATGTTCAAACACAGTCCTTAAAGTGTTCATCAACTGCTGAGCATTAAATTCCTGAAGAACTTAATGTCATGTCTCCAGCCATGTTAATGCACATAATGTAAAGTGTTATAAATCAATTGCATCAATGCATCAGTCTTGATGGATGATTTTGACTGGTGTTATTTTTAAGAATTAACTTAATGTTTATCAGTAATGGCACACACTTGTCTTTAGGTTCATACTACTACTACTACTACTAATAATAATCCATGGCGTAAGAGCCCTCTGAGAGCCAAAGCCAACTAGCTGGCTGCTGGCCTCACGTTCACATGCCTAAGCAGAGGTGAACGATCATCCAACCAGATACAGGGTGACATGTGGTCAGCACGACAAACCCCCAGCCATTGCTACTTTTCCTGACCAGATTACGCTACTTATCGTAGCTCCCCAATTTCCTCACGATGCTGGGTTGGCACCGGTCCCATACACCGGTCGAAAGCTCATGAGAAAATTTCTTCTCCCCCGAGACTCGAACCAGTGCGCATTCTGTATCGCCGGTCCGAAGCATGATGCCTCAGACCGCGTGGCTACGGCGCGGGACTGCTTTGGATAAATTTGGTTAAACTGTGATTGGCTAGTGTGTCTTTAAAAATCTAGTTACTTTATAATGAATTTGTCATTATTTCTTTACATACTTCTTACAGCTCTGGGACAGGTGATGCTGTATGTGGATGGAATGAATGGCGTGATGGAGCATAATGAGACGGTACAGTGGCTGTATTCTCTGATTGCCAGCAAGTTCCGCCTTGTGGTGAAGACAGCCCTCAAACTCCTCTTGGTGTTTATAGAGTATGTAGAAACCAACTGCCTCCTCCTTATCAAGGCAGTTAACGCTGTTGACACGGCTCATGGTAAGAAACATAGCCTGTCTTTTGCTCTGGTAAATTATATAATGGTCGCAGAATTAAAGAAAAACCAGCAAGAAAAAGAATTGATACCAGTCTGTCCATGTGTAGGTCTGCTTCCATGGAGTAATATTGTGAAGCTCCTGAAAGACTATGATGCAGCGGACACAGAGCTCCTGATCTATGCCATGACGCTGGTTAACAAGACATTAAATGGAATTCCAGATCAGGATACGTACTACGATCAAGTTGATGCCTTGGAGGAGCAAGGCATTGAGGGGACCATTCAGAGGTAATAACTCCTTAAATCAGGACAATCAAAGGTAATAACAGTAAAGTTGTCCCTGCACCATAACTGCCAGGGTGTGAAGGTGAATATGTGGAGTGGAGGTAAGGATCCTTCTTCTTCTTCTTCTGCGGCTCTCCGGTCCGTATTCGATCCATGGCCTCCTCAATTCTCCTCTTCCATTTGGTCCTCTGTTAGGTCCGTCTGTCTGAGGCTTTGACTGAGGTTTCGAAACATCTTCCTTTTTACGGTGCGAGGTTGTTAGCGTTCAGACACAGCACATCACATAAAATAGAATGTTGGATAACCGAAGGCCAGATAATTAGGACTCTACTGTATCTCAGACAATGCCCATTATGACTGCAGTGTAATGAGGTCTTAGCACACTTCTGAAATTGTTGTCTGTGTCATGTAGGTACATGTCAAAGCAAGGCACGGACCTTGATCTCCTGCGCCAGTTCCAGATTTATGAAGCAGTATTGCACCATGAGGATGGTGAAGAAAAGGGCACTCCACTGAAGCAGCTGGATGAGACAGTACGCAAAACTCTCAGGAATAGAAAATCACTGACAGAATCGATGACGGCAGAGCGACGCAAGTCCCGGCGGCACTCTACAGGCACCTCACCCATGGCCTCGTCCCTCGGTGGTTCAGTGCAGATGAATAATTCATCTCTCCAAACATCAACTGTAGCAGATGATGATGAGTCAGAATCCTCCAGCTCCAGATCATCACCAGGCCCTGAACTCAGTGGTTCTTACAAGGAGGGCAAAGGTCAGCCTGCATAATGCGTATTGTGTTCCTGTGTGTCCAACTAAATTTAACTCATTGTTGGTCAATATATCAAGGAATATTTGTGTTAATAGTTCAGAATTTTATTTTTGGTATTGGACTAGCATCTTCTGATAACCACAGTAATGGTTTAAGTTTATAGGACTTTTTCACATAAATGCTTCACAATTTGAAAATTAATAACTCAGGCTCCACTGACATTGAAATAAATTTGCTTTCCCGCATGTTGACTGTTCTGAATTACAATAATTTTAACATTCTGTGTATGGCATTTTAGATTAAAATAATTACTTAAATTTTTTTGACATTTTGAACTCCACGTATTTTACTTCTGATAAATTTACTGATGTTTTAAACTGAATATAAAGAAACTGGAAGTCAGGGTAGTTACCATGAAAATGATTTTGCATGGATTTGACAGCTGCAATCTTTTTCATCATTGATAAATCCACGAAATCTTGGGGAAGTACACACAGTCTTCTGCTCAGAGACGGTAGGAACTCTGGCCTTTATTAAGGAAAAGAAAAATCATGAACTGGCCACTGTTCGTGTACTGTTTCTTTTTTTGGTTTGTGTAATGGCAGTTTCTCAAGAGATCCATACTTCGTATTCTTCACCAGATATTATTAGGATGGTAAAATCAAGGAGGATGAGGTCCGTAATGCATGTGAACCAAAAAAAGCCTGTACAGAATTATGGTTAGAAAGCCTGAATGGAATGTACAACTTAGAGGACCTCAGCATAAAGGATAATATTAAAATGAATGTCAGTTTTAACCAAGTAGTTGGCTTGAAGTTATTAATCTCAAACTTACAGGTGATAAAACAGAAGACTGTGTAAAGTACAAATATTTTTTGCAAATTAACTGTAGAACTGAACAAAACAAAACACTAATATCACTGCAACCTGCCTGTTGGCTGTTTAGCTTCATTATTAACTGCTGTGTGCTTCTGCCCATGATACTAGTGGGTGATGCAGGTGTTACACCTGCCCTAAGACGGCGGCGTGAGCGAGCAGAGAGACAGCGCAGTTTCATTCGTGAACAGCAGGAGACGGCCGCTACCCTCAAGGCAACCCTTGGTAGCCCCGATGAAGGGGTTGTCGATGGTGTGTACAATGCATCTCAGAACTCCACCATCCTTGATTAATAGCGATCAAGCCATGGACTTCATGAGAATTTCATACAAATCTATTTCTTGGACCTCTGTACATGTTAATAAAATAAATGTTATTTGGGAATGGACTGCTAAGGTTTCCTTTCCACGCTACGTTTTATTCATATACATTTTTTTCTCTTTTTACATTTCCATGGTAATATATTTATTTATTATGTTGGAAAAATACAAGTATGTTAGCTTTAGTGGTTCACAGGTGACATAATAAAATATGTTATTTCAAATATCAGGTGATGTTTCCTAGACTCAAATTCTAATCCTTTGAAGTATATTTGAGTAGGCTGTATCCTGACACGATAAGAAATAAGGAAGGCAGGCTAAGAATTAAAAATTTGAAGATTTCTCTCTTCTGGGTTGTTGTGCTGTGTAGTCTGGTTGATGCCAACCAACATCAATATTCATCGCCCTGATGACGGAGGCAGTATGACCTCTGAAACGTTGGTAAACATCGACCAGACTACACAGCGCAACAACCCAGAAGACAGGAATCTTCATACTCACTTCTGCAAAAACCTCAAATCTTACAATTAAAAATTCTTTTTCAGAAAACCAGAGACTGTGTAAGAGGTTAGGGAATGGCACCTCTGACAATGGAGACTCTCGGTCCTCTAACAAACTTCAGCAGCTAAACTGCATCCCCAGTCGCAAAGACCTGACACCCCTTATGAATGCCGTGAACAAGCTGCAGGATGCCACTTCGGGACCGGAAACACCGGAAGGGAACGGATTCCTGAAAAAACCCTGGGTACTATCCATGATGTATGGGAAGAACTCTGCAGAAGAGGAGGGTGAGGATGCACTAGTAACTGGTGAAAATGAACAAGATGACTCTGCAACCACATCAGAAAGGAAGAAAATTCTGCAGTTGAAAAGAGAAAATACAGTGAAGGATCTCACTCAAAAATTATCCGGTCAGAATATAATTCACAGCCCAGTTGAAGATGTGAATAACAAAAGCATAAACAGGTACAGTTCGTTTGATTACAATACCATTTTACATGAAGCAAATCTGTTGAACATTTGATTAATAAGAATGTACTGTATCTTGAAGTCTGAAGGTTTCTGATGTTGGTGCATTTATAATATGCCAAAGTGGTATTTGGACTTTGTCTATATTTTAGTAAAATTAATATGTTTCCGAAGCTAGATTCTTTTGAGGGTAGCTCAGTTAGGGGGCCAAACAGTTCAGATTTCTGTTCTTCCCCAGCTTCCAAAATGTAATTTTATTGAAATAAAGACGTTGGACAGAGTTCAAAATAATACTTTTATGGATACTGTATCTTGTTAAGTGGTCATATAAAACTGAAAGTTTTAGAAATGTTGTTCAGGTTGCATTTTAGCTCGAGTGAAATACAGGAAGACAGACAGACAGAGTTCTCAGTGCTAAAGTGTGTTGAGGTCAATATGAAGTCTGTCAAGCAAGGGACCAAAAATAGTTACTTCTGTTTAAAAATAATCCCTGTCTTCTGATTAATGTTTTTGCTCCGATAAATTTTAAAATCTGTATCATCAGAATATTAAGTTTTTTTACTTTGTAATTAATACAAAAAGCTGTTGTTAATTTTATATCTTATGAAAGAATTGATTTCATGAAATATTAATTTTGTTCTATTCATTTGGTATGGGGTTTTGAATGTTGCAAGAGATTTCATCTTTGAATTGCATTCTGAAACTTCATATACGTTTGCTGTCCAGGATAGGGGATATGACGGGGCTCATCTCTAAAGCAATGGAGGGTCTTGCAAAGTCAAAGTCAAAGCAAGATGTTGTAAAGAGCCCAACAAATGAGAATGTACCCAAGGTGACAGAAGTGAAGAAATCTGAAACAGAACTCCACTGGGAAGAGCTGGTACACTCTATGAAGCGCCCTCTCTCGCTGTGTGATCTGGACTTTACTGACCTCAGAAGTGATGATGAGGTGGACATCCTGTCACCTGCCAATATTTCAAATGGTGGTCCGCCCCCTCCTCCGCCTGTTCCCGTGGCTCCTGGCATGCCTTCCACACGAGGAGGCACAGCTCCTCCCCCGCCACCACCTGCCACCAGGTAATCTGGAGAAGGACGAATCAAAATGATAACAGACAGAAGCAGTTTGTATGTTGCATATGCAGTCGCTAAGACTTTTGTATATGTATAGAATTTTCTAAGATGCAGACAAAAGTTTTATCTATGATCCTTTAGAGGTTTTTTAGTTGGCTTGATCTATAGACATTCGGTAGGACTCCTTGGACGAGGGATCGGCCCATTGCAAGGACTCTACCTATACACAAGACAGCACAACACTGAAAAACATCCATGGCTTGAGTCCCAGTGACCAAGCGGCACAAGGCCCACGCTGCGGACCGCGATTTATGTAATTTTAAAGTAATAAAAAGTCTTAGCTGGCCTTTAAATTGAAAGCATGTAATTAATATGAGGCTACTTTGGTCTGAGTAATACAATTGTAATTTTGGTCATACTGATATGATAGCCTTGTAAGTACTTTCAGGGTATCACAGAATGAAGCATCTGTTTCTGTATACACCTTCTTAAAGTGTAATGTTTACAACAGGTTTGGCACCGTAGCACCACCTCCAATGCCTCCCTCAGTGATTAGCCCTACCGTGTTTGGTGTCAGTCTGCGTTCTCAACGCAGCAGCCTCAATAGCATATCATCCCCGGACGAAAGTAAGACACTGACATTAACACCAGTCAAGAAGACCAAAAAGACGGTGAAACTGTTCTGGAAGGAAGTACGGGATGACCCTATCATCCTAGCCAAGTTGCAGCGAACGGGGATGATATGGGATGAACTGAATCCGGTCAATGTTGACACTCAGAAGTTGGAGCATTTGTTTGAGTCTAGAGCCAAGGATCTCATTACCAAGGTATGGACCCCCAAAAATTAGCATGTCTCCTTCACGTCTACATCTGTATTGTAGTTCAAGGTAAAGGGTATATCATGGTAAACTAGTAGCATGCAGAAACCACAAACAAACGAGCCCTTTAAAAGTATTTACGTTCTGAGAATTTTTAAAATTGAACATCATTAATGGTAAATGAGGTGATACTAAAATAAGGAAATTCAGGGAACCCAAATGTTGGACTTTGTTGTGTAAATTTAGTAGACAATGTTGGTGATGATAATGATAAGTCCACAGAAATACATTAGAGAGATTTCACTGAATTTGTATGAAATAGAAGAACATTACATATTTAAATGATTAATTATATAAATAATTTTTTGTAACATAACATCGTAATCTAGTTTTGAAAATTGGAAATTTAAGTTTCAGTCCCTTTAAAAAGAATTTCCCAGAGTATTCTTTAAATACCGTGAATATTATGACTAATATTTTTTTGAGAATTTTGTGTGAAGCACATAAATTTGTTATAAACTTTCAGTTTAATACTATTAGGCATTACGTAGTACCAGACATACAGTTGATTCCAGTAGATGAAGCAGTACATAGAGTTCATGTCCACATATTTTCACCACTGTGTTGAAATATAATGGACAGTTTGATACTGTAACTTTCATTTGAATGGTAAATGAGAAAAGTGTTTGGTTTGCTGTAGTAGATGGTCCCATAGTTGCTTGTGTACCAAAACTTGATGTCTGTATCTGTTTAGATAACGGAATTCATTTAACTATCCCAAATGATAACTGTGTGCACTTATGAACTTGGTGTATTCTTGAACAAAAAAGAGATATAAATATTGCAGTTTTATCTGATTTCCCCTTTGAATAATTGTTAAATATATAATTTTCATGTTGACATAATTTTAGGAATATTAGAAATTAGGATTGCGTGTGTAATGATAGCGAACACGTTGATATCACCAAGAAAATGCACACATGGTTTGTAAAATGTTAACATATGTGTGAACATCTGAGTTAAGTTTGTGACTTATAAAACTTGATGTAGTTTTGCAAATATCTGCTGTAGTATAGTGTGCAAATGATTTTTTTCCACCCTAAATCATTCTGTTGCTGCTGTTACATTATTTCAATTTGACATCCATTACACCAATTATAAAAAAATAAAAACATTCTAAGACCGTCTGCATTCAGGGACTCGCTGTCTCCGTCTTCATGTAATAACTAAAAACTCACCTGCTCTCTAGGCACTTCGTTCAGTTCTAACCTGAATATGGGCACAGAACTAGTTTCTAAAATACAGCAAATTTTAGAATTTTTTATTTTTGTTGTGGTGTAAAAGTTAAAATTGTGTGTAGGGTTAATACAATCAGTAGTCATCACTTGAAAAGATGACAGCCTCTGGGATGTTGCATCATGCAGTCTCATAGAAGTTGACTGACATTTCAGAGGTGCTTACTTCATCATGAGGGTGATGGATAATGATGATGATGGAGGCAGTAAGCACCTGTGAAACGTCAGTTAGCATCTTTGTGAATATGTGGCGCAATACCCTAGAAGGATGTCACGTACTTGCCACCATGAGAACCTGAAATCTTGACGTTACTCTAACATTGATCCCATTTCCTTAAGAATGTATAAGCTGTGGTCACAACTGCCAGTGCAGCATTTAAAATCTGTATCTGAACTTGATACAGGTAGCCCTCGATTTACGCCAGGGATGCGTTCCTGGACGAACCGGCGTAAATTGAAACTCTTTTTATAATGTAAATCAATGGGAAGTCAATGACATGCGTTCCCAGCACCCAAACATTGACGATTAATATAATGACATTACATTTAAAGCTCTTAAATAACGTAAATAAAATAAAGGGAATTAAGAAAATATATATTTTATACACTTACAATCGGCAATTCGTTGGTCCCCGCGATTGACTGCGATTCTTTCATGTGATTGATGTGTACAGTCATCTCTGCTGTTATGCGATAGTTGCATTCATGTAAGACGCCGACCTATAGAAAATCGCGTAGTAAAAATAACCCCGGTACCTCCGCAGAGATTAAATTAGTCCTTTGAAAGTTTAAAGCGCCAGGAATGAAACTGCATAAGATCAAACTCGCATATGCAAAAGTTTGCATTTCACAAACAGATTTTACCGATTCATCAATCTCTTCGGAGCAAGTTCGCGTTGACGAAACATACGTAATTGCAGAGATGACTATATTTATAATTTTTATTCAAAATCAGCGATGTAAGAATTATGATTTATTATAAGAATCAGTACGAGAAACATTATAACATATTATAAATAATAGTAAAATATTTTTTTTTCACTTTTTGACTTGTTTGTTTCAAAAGCCGTGTTATTCTGAATCGGCGCAAATCGAGGGTTACCTGTACTGTGTTTGCATGAAACATGAACTATCTCAAACTTGCATGCAGTGAAGATGCACTAAAAAGTACAATTGCTTAGAGAGACATTGATTTAAAGTGATGGGTGGAATTAAATATTATTATAATTAAATTTGAGAGGGTAAAATAATAAATAGAACCAGTATATGAAATCTGTTTTCAGTTTTTCTTTGTGTTGGATTATTTTTGTATGTCTTGCACATTGAATTTGGTATATTTTGATTACTGAGATGTTTGAAACAAGATTACATTGGTGTCAGAGTTCTCTATATATTGCATTATAGTTCAAATTTTTAACATTCATTGAAGTCGCTTAAAACATCTACAATACACAACTTCAAACCATTCAGCCAATCACTAAAATTTGATGTACTATTTGCTACTTAGTGAAAAACAGAACAGTAATACTACCCCTGCTGCCTCTCTCTTCTGGTATTTTCGCATAAGTGTTACACCAGCACTAACTTGCATTAATTTAATTTTTCCATTGAGTGGTACTCACTCACTGACTCTATGTTGCTTGCTGAGCTAACCAGATGTTTATAAAGAATTTACAGTTTATTACTTGAGAATCTGCAGTTTTTTTATAAAATAAGTGTGGTGCATGCAAGTATTTAACAGTGTGAACTAATACTTTTGTTTTTGTTTATTTTTGAAAAACGATTTTTTTGCTATAAATTTTTATTCATGGCATTTATAATGTTTTTAGCTTTGTTGTACACAGTTAATTTTACCAAAGGATCTTGATTATTTGGATATTTTTAAAAGCCTAAATTAAAGCTAGCTTTAAGAGTTAGGCATAAAAATGTTTTAAATGTTTTATGTATTAATTTCAAGTTTTTATTTTTAAAATGTTTAGTGAATAATTATATGTGACAGAAATAACAAATATGTTGAAGTGCTGCACAACCTTTCCACAAAACATAGCAATGTGCTTAGAAACCTTTAGATGGATGAAATTAAGAAAATATTTAAGGTTTTGGGAAATACTTTCAAAGATAAAATTGAAACGTGTCATCGTAACAGAATAATTTAAGTCCTTATTGTTTATATATAAAATTATTCTGATAGGGGCATTTTTGTTGCTGTCTTTGAAATTTAGCTCATAAGATAATGAACTATTTAGCCCCATATTGATCAGCTGCAGTCAGCTATCATTTATCTATGTGCAGATAGATCGTTTCAAATAAACTTCAGAATATCTGCTGCTTAAAAAAAATTCAAACAATATACATTCTGTAGACTCATGAGTAGACTCTTCACATTTAGTGATATGATTACTGAACCATTTTTTACTTTAACCTTTTGGATGTCTTACTTTTCGAATTAGCTGTTATCATAAAAGTAAATATGCCACATTATATTACTCAGCTCTGACATGCTTGATTCTAGTATTAAATGTGTTGAGCTGATTTGCAAGTAATTTTTAAAGTGGAATGTCACGGATTCGTCCGTGAACAGTTTTTGTAGGGTCTCGAAACAGCGTTGACTACAGTATGCCTCTTGGCAGCTGTGCATGAGTTGTGCAGCACTTGTCTGGGCTTCTTCTGTTGCTCTGCAGGTGCCTTGATTCTCAGACTCACTCCTGTACTGTGTACTATATTTTTGGCGCCCTGTTAAGTCCAGCAGGCTTTTGGTACTACTTACTTTTGTGCTTATTAATAACTGTATATTTCTTCCCTCACCTTTTGAATGGTCATCGTCACTGAATGGCATGCCGTCCTCTAGGAGGTAAGTGCTGGGGGTTTGGTGTAATGGTTTATGGTTTATCTCTAACTGGGTTTACAAGGTAGAATGTAAAAGAAACTTCTTGTACTGCAAAGTTTGAATAAAACCTCTAGTACAAAGGGCTTCATTCCTTCACATAATTTTTTTGTCCATTTAAATTCTGCACATTCTAATTGCTCATATAACTAGTTGCAGCACTAATATACAGTGAAATATTGATGCTATAAATATTTCTTAGTTTCTTCTGCAGTGAACAAATATTAAAGTCTGTTGTGTAATTTTATGCTAAGGAAAAGAAAATCTTCAAAATAGCCGATGAATATATGTACAGATGTTAGGCGAGTAAAATATATCTAGTGCAGTAACATAAAACATTTTATGTAGCAGAATGTGTATGGTAGCATGCAATTCACATTTTATTTGTTTCATTGAGAAAATATGTTTTTATTGCAGCAAAAGCCATTTTAATTGATTGTTGCATCAACAGAGATGATTAAAATATAATATAATTTCAAGAAAAGTTTGTTTAGAATCTGAGAATTTTGAACTAAAATAATTTTTTTTTAATATAATAGTTCTCTGTTGATAATTTTTTAAAAAAAAAAACGAATTTAGGTCTGGGTGAATGGGTTTAATTCATTCCACCATTCTCTGGCCATATTGATGTTTAAATCATTAAAACAATTCTAATAGTAATAGGAAAGTAAAATGTTTGTTTGGTCAATATATGTGACATATACAAATAATAACCAGCAATTTGTGTTCAAACTTCCAATTCAGGAGGAGGTGAAACTGGATGAAGTCAATTTCATGAAAAGAACTTCAGTCATGACTTGTTGCAATTACTGTTTATCCTACTTCCAAATACAAGAATGTGTGTTTTTTTTTAGATTTTTGGCTCTTATGTTCTTTGTTTAACAAGTGGTGCTTTGTTTTTATATTCCTTAAGACTGCTTGTTTAAATTTTGCTTTGAAAGATAATAAAGTTTGTCCAAAAACAAACTACTGTAACAGTTTTTCATCTCCTCCTAATTGATAAAATCCTGTACCTGTTGTTACAAAAAAATAACCAACCACATTCTGTTGCATTCAGAAACAACAAGAAATGAATAAGAACAAGGAGATCATTGTGTTAGACCACAAGCGTTCAAATGCCATCAATATTGGTATGACGAAGTTGCCACCACCACGTTCTATCAAGACTGCAATTCTCAAGATGGATTCAACAGTTATGAATCGGGAAGGAATAGAGGTAGGTGGGTTAGTTGCCTACCTATTCTTCATTTATTTGCTCATCGTCAGTAGTGTCTGCATATTGACCTTTTGGTTCTATAAAAGATGGGCAATGTCTTGAATAGCTGACCAATTCCAAACTGCTCATGAGTGTTTCTGCTCTAGGGATTTTGTAAGATAAGGGGGGGATTGTGCAGATGTTTTGTTTTCCTCAAACTAAGACAAACATGTTATGGGGAAATTATTCAAGGTACATTCCATGTCAAGAAATTAAAGATAAGTTAAAAATGGTAAAATATGTATAGAGAAGTGCATAGATTACTTATATGAAAGATGTTGAGACATACTGAAATGTTTTTACTTTATCCGAACAGAAACTGTTGACAATGCTGCCAACAGAGGAGGAGAGGTCAAAGATCCAGGAAGCGCAGGTGGCAAATCCAGATATGCCACTTGGAAGCGCTGAACAGTTCCTGCTTACTCTGGCTTCCATCTCTGAACTTCCTGCACGCCTAAAGTTATGGGCCTTCAAACTTGACTTCGAGAACAGTGAAAAAGTATGACAAAATCACACATCTTCACTAATATAATAGTTTCACTCCAGTTTTAAAATATTGATAATGCTCAAGTTTTTAGGTTACCTTCTGCCTTGATTTCTCACAATTTTCTGCTTATATATCTTGTAATTACTTGATGCAGTGGACTTAGGTAAGATGTGAGCTTATTCACTACTGTCATTGCTCTGGTATGAAGAAATTTATTCCCTGGGAATGCTGTTTCCTTCTGGAGACTTTTAAATAGTTTCTGCACTTCTTGAATGGGTCATATGAGTCAGGGAGCATGCATGACACACGTGCCTCTTCATTTGGTTAAGCCATTCGTATCTGAACATAACACTGAATGAGACTACTAAATAAACTCAAAATAAATGTTCATTCTAGCCAAGACTCCGAGTTATTGGATTGTCTGGTGAAGGAGATCGCTGAGCTCTGGCTACATCTTAACAACATAAATAGAGTTTGGCTGTTCACTCTTACTAACATGATTTAACTATTCAGATGATGATGATATTGTGATTTTTGGTGCTGTGTAGATGCGTTGATAGATGCCATAATTTCAGAGAAAAACAGTCTCCATGTTCACGGCTGAAGAAAGTATGTTTCTGTGAAATTTAAACATAATTGAGCCTCCATGATACCAAATCCTAGAAGTTTATTGTCATCCTCACTGCTATGGAGATCTCAAATCTCTCATGATTCATATTCCGTTTTCTGTTTATTTCATTTAGGAAATAGCAGAGCCATTAATGGATCTAAAGCAGGGAATGGAGACCCTGAAAACGAACAAGACATTCCGTGGGATCCTCAGTACGTTGCTGTCAATAGGAATCTTTCTAAATGGCAATGAGGTGGGTTATAACAGCTTTTATTAATAATCAAGGAAGCAGTGGAATAATTTAACTGAATCAGCATGTTAAGTAAATAAATTAGGACCAAAGTGTTTTATTTAAACTGTAAATCTTGAAATCTGTGCATAGGTGATAACACATTTCACATTCTTCACATATTTTTTTTTGTAGTAATGTGTCTTGTGCTGCTAACCTAACACGTCTATAACTGCAATAGACCTGTGCTTTGAAATTGAGATTCTTGCTTTTTGTTCCTTTAGCAGGTATCGAGGAATCAAAGTATCTCTCGTCTATGGATTTCATGTATTCTAATATTTTGCTATGATATTTTATGTGGAAAACATCAACTAACCGTAAATGCTTGTTTCAGGTTAAGGGGTTCCAAGTTGAGTATTTGGCTAAAGTACCAGAGGTTAAGGATACGGTACACAAGCACTCCCTTCTACACCATTTGTGTCACATGGTAATGGAGAAGTTTCCTGAGTCAACTGATCTGTATTCAGAGATTGGGGCTGTGACCCGTGCGTCAAAGGTGGACTTCGATGAACTTTCTTCCAACATTCTCAAGATGGAACAAGAGTGCAAAGCATCCTGGGACCATCTTAAAGTCATTGCTAAACATGATGGCTCTACTATGAAAGCCAAGTACGTAGGTCAGATTTATACGATGGAAGGGTAAAATGACAGTGACAGGGAAATAGAAAGGAGACTTGAGAGATACTAAAATTTTGTATAATATTTTAAAAGATCATATGTTATTTTATATTTGCCAAGAGTATAAATCAGCTCATTTGACGTGATTAGACTGCAGGATTTTTATATACTGATATTTGCATTTTTGTTGGCTTGGAAGAATAAAAACAATTACAAAATGTTTGTTTACTGATTATGAATTTTTAAGCAATATAAATGCTGATCCTGGATGAAAGAATCCCCAAAAAATTATAATAGACTCATGTTGATTTTAAAATAATATGTTGGAGATTTTAGGCTTACGCCTGTCTCCCTTTGACACTCCAAAATTTGTTTTCCTTGTGACAAGTTGGTCACTGGTTTTGTTCCAGGATGTCGGACTTCCTAGCAGACTGTGCTGAGAGAATTATTGTGCTGAGCATTGTTCATCGTCGTGTGATGAATAGGTGAGTTTAATATTGCAGTGACAATGATTGAGTTACAAATTTCTTGTTGCTTGCTCCACCTGTTGATATTTCTCTATTGTCGCACAACGTGCATAAAATTAATTAACAATGGCAGGTAATATCTGTCCATCCACATTTCATTGTTGAAAAAATCCAACAGACTTTGACAAAAGTGGGGTTTGGGGATGTGTATGAATTATTTTCAGTTGAATTTGAATTTTGGTATGCATCTGTTCTGTAAATTAAACTGAAACCAAATTTCATAGCTGTTTTTAAAATTTACTCAACACACACACAGTTACAAAAAAATAAGACTTCATTAATATGAACAGCTTGTAATTGAATATGTTTTTATATAATTATATTTAATGAACTGCTAGGAAAAGGTTTTGACTGTGTAATATAAAGAACTTTGTAGCAGTGAATTAGTTTATGTGCAAGAAATTAATACCAGGGCAGGTGTAATATACAAAATTACAAATAATGCATTTGGAAAGTGAACTAATGGATGTGTGCAGGTTTCACAAGTTTCTGCTTTGGCTGGGCATTCCACTGCATCGCGTGGCAGATACAAAGCCCAATGAGTTCTGTCGCATTGTGTCAGAATTCTCGCTAGAGTACCGCACGACACGAGAACGTGTATTGCAGCAGTTGGAAAAGAAGGCAAACCACCGTGAACGTAATAAGACGCGTGGAAAGATGATTACTGAGGTATGTTTACATGACCTAAATTGAATTGTCTAAAATTTATTTCTTCTTAAAATTTATAATTAATAACAAGTGGACATTAATATTTCTTTCACATGCTCAGAATGTTGCAAAATAATTTGTCCAGCTCTGTAAATGGATATATATTTGGAATATAAAAGGACTTGTTTCAAACTGGCAAAATTACACAAAATTGTTTACTGTCAAAAAACTGATAGGTGATGAACATGACAAATCTGGAAAGTGATAGTGTTCATTTTCTGAACTAAATGATGTAATATGAAATCATGAAGTCATTCTTCATCACTTTGTTGAGGGAACCATCAACTACTAACATAATGATGGTAAGAATTACCTCAACCTGTAGTTCTCGCACTGGACAGCAGAATTGCAGGAAACTTCTTTTTGAACCATGTCAAATTTTAATTTTATAGCTCATTTATTTCTTACTAGTTGTCAGAAACTGTTAGTCCTGTGAGATAGTGAGACACTAAAAATTATGACACAACAAAAGGTTTAACGATGTATTTAACAGCAACAGGCTTCTCATCATAAAGGATAATATTTCATGTTTATTTAATGTTGCAGGTAGTAAAATTTCGTACAAAGGAAGATCGAGCAGATGCAGAACTGAGGCAGCTTTTGGGCAGTGACATGTCCGATGCAGAGAGCATCCATGGCACCTTGCCTTGGCGGCGACAGCGCAGGGACCTGGGTCAGTTAAGCATGCATCTGCTACAGGTTGCTAATAAAATATAAGCCCTTGTAATGACTTGAGCTTAATATGGTATATTGAATGTAAGTGGTGGAAAGGAAAGTTATTGTGAAGATTTCTGTCTACTGGGTTGTTGCGCTGTGTAGTCTGGATGATGTTTACCAATGTTTCAGAACCCAGAAGACAGAAATCTTCATACTCACCGCTGTGAAAATCTCAGATCTTAACGAAAGTTATTGTGTTATTTTTTGCTGTAGGACGCACAGTGTTGAGTCCACTTGGGCAGCAGGAAACGGTGAACGGTAATCTTACGGATGGTGATGATGAAATTTTGGAGAGTCTTGTGAAGACAGCAACCAAAGCTCCAGGCACTCGTACGACCCCACGTGAGAGGAAACGTACACGTCACGCTGACCGAAAATCCTGTAAGTATTCACATGTAGAGGAGAAGGGAATAGGTTTAAGACAAGAACTTTTAAAAAACTTTCATCCAGGGTGACAGGCATCTTGCATTTTATAGGGAGTGTGAAGTCTTTGAAGATCGTGTTGAAATAAAATGCTCTAAGACACCAACACTTATAACAGAACCAAAAATTCCACCTCCCAGACCCACAATTTTTCTCTGTAAGATATATCCTTATATTATCTTCCCAACTCTTTCTCAGTCCCTGAAATGTCAGTTTTCCAAGAGGTTAGCTCACCAGTTATTTTACCAGTGGTGTGTTATAATTTGTTTTTCATATATAATCTGTTTTTATTTTATCAAACATTTTGGGGAACTTTTTAGTGTAGTCATATGTGCAGATTCCTAAACATTGCAAGTTGGTGCTAAACTGAACCTAATGTAACATTACCCTCATCTATCTAACAATATTTCTTTACATAATACTTTCCAGAGTTACTAAAGTTATGTATTGTTTTAATGTGTGCCTTTCTTTTCTTTCATAATTGATGATCATAGTAAAAGCCAGAAGCTAATTCTGAGTAGCGTCGTCTAGCGGTGTCAGATTTCATAGTAACTGGTGTCATGCTTTATTAATTGAGCATGTACTGTGTGGGGAATGAGCTGAACTGCATTCCTGTCCTTAACCACTGTCCTACTTCAGCGAATAAATGCAAGCGGTGCGAATTACGTGGGTGAAGCGGAAATACGAGGTGCAATCGAAAGGTTTCCAGACTGCGCGTATAAAAACCCGTACACTTATCTCAGGTATTAAATTCATCCATCACCCTCGAAGTAGTTCCCCTGGGAGTGAACACAACGATCCCAGCGCC